CTCTCTCTCTCTCTCTCTCTCTCTCTCTCTCTCTCTCTCTCTCTCTGTTTCCCTCTCCCCTTCCCCCCCACCATGGACCTTCAGATGGAGCTTACTGTGTCCTCATTGACTCCTTGCAACAAATCTGGGCTTAACTTCCTCTCAGATCAATGTGAGTTGTCAAAGACTTCCCTTATACATGAAAAAGTGAGTGGTTTTTCCATGTGTTAGTGAGATGTAGTCTTACTGCTATTATTTCTTCTCAATAGGCTATTTCTCCAAAAGCTTTTGAATCTCAAGAACTTACAGTATGCAATGGGCAGCGGTCAACACCCAGTCCTTTGCAATCAAAGCGCCACAGCAGATGCTTTGTGAATTCAGTTTAAGTAGAACCATGTATGGTCTGGAGTGAGGAACGACTGTGTCTCCTCCAATGATTCTTTCACAGTCACCTGTTCGACACAAGAAGGGCAGCCAGGTCAGTGCCTACCCCTAGTAGCCCCTCAAGAAAGTCACATTTCTGGGACAAGGCATGCTTTTTGAATTTGGAGAGAATTCAGTATCACCTTATGGTTATGTCCTATGTAGTTCTGGTGTCTCACCCTAAGTCTTGTCCCTTTGGGGCTCCTTCTGTCACATCCATAAAAGCCCGACACTGGTGTCCTGGGAACCATTCAGCTGGAGATCTGTTACAAATGTAGTCTCAGAGCTCAGGGTTTGCCAAGGGCAGAGAGCTGTGCAGTGGTCGGCACCAGCAGCAGTTGCTATAGAGGAGCTGCTGGTTGGTGATCATGCAAGCCTAGCTGTCCCTACTTCCCTCTCGATGAGTGTGAATTGGCGCAGGGCAAGGCATAGGATTTTAGAAGCCTGCTGCTTTCCCCCTTTCACTCAGAGACCATTCAAAAACACAGTATACAAGTTGACATTAGCACCTTTTAGCTGTGACCCTTCATGAAGACTTTGGTCACTGTGAGATTTCAAATATCAAGAACACCACTCTCATTCACAGATCAAGAGAATAACAAGGATGCATCTAAGGTGCTCTTACAGTCCCCAGACTAAACATGGTTTAGAAAGCCCTTTCCGAATGAGCTGTAAGGAGCAGAGAAGATAATCCACCTTAGCAAAACTTCCATGAGCTGGACCAGGATAATAGAGATAATAATTTCTCGATGTTAGAGAATGGGGAGACACAAAGGCGTAAGGCAAGCATGGGTGACTGGAGAGGACCTCGTGTCCTGTGACAGAGCTTCCATTTTTTTCAACTGCTACACAAAATATTCTTGGATTCTCCTGAAATACTTCTGACCGTTTGGCTGAGTGTTATGTTTGCTTGAGATTAGCACTTCTTATTCCATAATTAAGTTCAACTACCCGCCAAATTCACGAGGTAGACCTGGAACTTTTCATCAGGTTGAGGAGGGTGAGAGGCAGGAAGAGAGAAGGCGGGGTCCACTTTCCATAAGGGAAGGCAGAATTTTACAATCCAGAAATAGAATGGTATAGAATCAAAGGAACTTTGGCCCCATCCCTATTTTTCTTGGGGTGACTCTTAACAAAGCTAGACTGTCTGTGGACATCATGATGAATTCTAGAAGATTCTCTTAGCACACATGCCGGCCTGAGCAGTAGGGCCAGGTCACCACTAACTAGTCTTAAAAAGGTCTGTGGTAAGGATTAGAGTAAACAGAAAGCTTTTAAAAACTAGCAAGCACACATCCCCATTTAGAGACAGATTTAGTAGAATTTCTGAGGCAGGAGCTGTGATGTTCACACATTGTTTTAAAAAGCCTTCCAGATTATTCTAACTAGTCTAGCACACGAGAAGTACTGCTGTTTTGCTCCCTCCCTTTTGGGTCCACACAGCTCCTTCCCAACACAGAAAACAAAGTGTCATAGAAAAAGTCGTCCTTACTGTTTACTTCGAAGAAAGTGAATAGTTGGATTAAAAAAAAAACCTCACAAAACCAAAATTCAATTATAAAAAATTAAAGAGGAAAGAAAACCTGTTCTAATCTCATGGTTTGGGAAGAATTGGAACGTCTGAGTGCCTGCTTGCTGTGCCATGCTGGTTATGTGCCCACTTTTGGTCTCAAACACCTTTCAAGCTTGTTTTAAAATTTCCTTTCTTTGCTAGTCATGAGGTTAATCCTAGGACTTCTTTTGGATTCCTGACCACAACTCCTGCCTCTGAAAGCTTATAGGTCCTAGGATAAATCATGGCTGCTTCCATATTTGCCAGCCATTTTACCCCATGCCAATCTTCCTACCAGGTTCTTCACGGAACATGGAGAACCTCTCAGAAGCTGTTGTTCTTCCAGTATCAGGGCAAGAACCGTGATGACATTACCACAGGTGCCCGATGCTTTCCCTCAGATAGGAATATTGGTTCCTATTTACTACATAGTAGGAACAACTGAAAAGAAAATACTACAGCTCTCCCAATGGGTCAGTTTGAGGTCTTCTCCAGAGTCGGGAAGCCTTGCCAGGGAAACACTAACCAAGAGAAATAGTGAGAAACTCCCCACGCTCCTCATCAGCTTCTGTGGTCTAGCTCAGGCTCAGTGTAACTCTCTTCAAAGCTGTCTGCACAGTGTTTGAAGAAAGAAAGGCTGAGATGCCTCATTTACCACGATTTCCTTTCTTCAAAGGTAGAGCTTGATCTCACAGCTCAAGGGTATTCCATTCATTTCCTTACTCATCTCAAATTGTCTTTTAAGGCAAAATTCAAGCTAAAAATTGGCAGCAATCTCCATTGGTGGTTTTGCTAATTTTTGGAAAGAAATTACAGATATATATTTTTTCTTTTAAAATTAATATAATTTAAAAGCGAATGCTAAGTGTTCCTAGGCTCTAGGTGCTCTATTAGCTATGCTCAAGAACCATTATGAAAGCAACACACAAATCCACTCCATTATGGTTTTGATGAAAATGGCGTAAGTCTGTCTTACCTTCAGGAGTTAGCAGAAGAAAAAAGACAGTAGCAAGAGAGGACACCCAGGGAACACAAGCGTTCTTCATCGTGGTTCCCCCCAGATCAATCAGCAGGGATCTCTGTTTTTGTTTCTTTCCTCTTATATATATGAGAGTACAAAGGATGTGGTTTCAATTTTTCTCTTTCAAATGTCCAGGTGTAGAACTGGAAAATGAAACTAAAATAGGCGAGAGCAGGCGTGATCCCTCATCACCTGTGGTCGTGATGACAGAGTTAGCGCTGTGCTGCGGGGTGGAGAGGGAGGGTTGTAGCCTCCTTCCGATGTTTGAGAGGGAAGGGAATCTTGTTGCTATTAGAGTGTAGTCCATAAGTAGGGACTAGAAATGATTCAGTTGGGGGTGTTTTCATGAATGGCAACATTATCTTCAGTGTCCTTTAGTAGGAGCTCTTTGAAAACACAAAAATCAGCATTTTAGGCGCTAAGGAGGTGGATCAGTTGTTCAAATGCTTACCACATAAACATGAGGACCCAAGTATAGGATCCCAGAACCTACATAACAATCTGGGTGCAACAGCATATGCCTATAATCCCAGAACTGCAGAGATGAGAAGACCTAGCTGCACTGGCAAGCTCCAGGTTTAGCGAGAGACCCTGTCTCAAAAAATAGAGGAACTGTTTGAGGAAAATGCCCACTGTCAACCTCACACATACGTACACACATGTATACAACGCGCACACACACTTGAAGTTTTAAAAAATATCTTAAAAGCACATTTCTTTTTAGCTATTTTCTTAGGTTGTAAGAATTGATAGGGAAAATACAAGTGGAGGTCCAGAGGAACATTTATGGCTGGAAGTTCTGCCTCAGTTTTGAAGGAAAGTAAAGGACAGATGAATTTGTCCCAGCATTAAGGAGAACTGCTTTCTTAAAACAGACTCCATTGTCAGTCTCTGAAGGACAGTGCTGACTTGGTTTCTAGTAGAAAGTCTCAAGCTTTCTGTCTGAATGGAGGAAGTGGTTTCCATTGTGAAGCACATGGCTGGCCATATGTTCCACGAGGATGTTTGGTGTTAAGCCCCACAGCCCCACGGTTAACACCTTGTGGCTTCAGAACAAGGGAGTACTTCTTCAGAAATCATGTGACCTTAGAAGGGACCCCTGCTTAGATACTTGCGGTTCTTTTTCCCAGATCTCACTAGTACATCGGGTTTCCTCATTATCCGGAACACCAGTGAGGTAGCATGAGATAGCGTGCTTCTGGTTTTGGTGAGTAATTTTCTTGTCAGTTTTCTTTTCTTTTTACAAATTTACACTTGCACCAAATGAAAAGGGAGACACTGTCAGTTTTGTTTATGTATAACTGTGATCATGGTTTCTGTATTTATTCTGACTTTTAACTGCTCGGTAAAGTGTAATTCATGCTCTATAATGCCACTCATCGAAGACATACTTCTAGAGTTGTATAGTCATCACTATAATCTATCTGTAGGACATTTGATTTTTCCCCAAGAACCTTTTGTCAATTAGCTGTTGATCAGGGATCCTCTCATCTACTTTCTGTCTTTACAGATTTGCACACACACACACACACAAACACACACATGTACACACATGTACATGTGCACACACACTCTTACTCACACATGTGCACAGGCACACATGCACACAGACATATATGCACACATGTATATACCCACACACTAGCACATGTGAGCACGCACACACACACACACACACACACACACATGTTCGAGAAAAATAAAATAGTTTGACTTCACAGACCCCTGCAAGGGTCTCAGGATACCTTACACATTCACAAATTACACCTTGAGGTCTACTGCTTTGCAGTATCACGGTAGGCTCATTCCCAGTAGAATACAGTTAAATGTTCATAAGAAACAGCTACACACATATTAAATGGAAAGAAACAGCTACACACAAAAGTTTTGAAGTTTGAATCTCATTATGAAAGCCATCTTGGCAAGGGCTATTAGAACAAAGTTAATGGACTCACATTCTTCAACCTCGGAAGAGATGTGTGTGGTTAGAGCGATGAGGGTAGTGTGTGTGTGTAAGGTATTACGAACCTAGACAATGCTTTTTAGTTTCAAAACTTTTATAGAACTATAGTAATCAGAACAAGTGGGACCAACGTAAGAGCAGACCTATACATAACTTTTGTAGACCCGAGGCCTCAGATGAGCTCTAATATTTATGGTCAAATGACATTCAACAAGAAGTTAAAAACAACTTTGTTAGAGAAAAATAGTCTCTTGAACAAATAGCACTGGGATAACTGAACATTCACATTCAACAGATGAAAATGGACACCTATCTCAACCACACACAGAATGTCCCTGGAGCTATGGGCTGGACGGAGAGAAGACACAGGGGTCAACAGCACACTCTGCTCTTGCAGTGGGTACGAGCTCAGCGCTCAGCATCCTGCAACTCCCTCCAGTTCCAGAAGACTCAGTGTCCTCTTTCGGACACATAGACGTATACATATACACACCATTAAAAAAAATAAAATAAATATTTGTAAAACAACTTAAACTATAACCAAAAAAAAAAAAGACTCAAAAACAGGCCTAGAAATAAGCAAAGCAGAAGACAGCACTTGAGCACATGAAGCCTGTACAGCCTCGGGTTAGTGGGTGACCATTCTAAACATGATGTCCAAAGGAGAGGTGACAACCAGGGCTGACAAGTGGAGCGTCTCCAAATCCCAAAGCTTCATGCTTTAAAGTGCAACAACAAGACAGAGACTGTGTGTGTGTCTTTCATTCTGGAACATAAACCACTGGGGCAGGTAGCAAACCACACCGCCGGGATTTATTTATTTATTAATATTTAATTCTACAGGACGTGTCTATGTGCTAAACAAAATGTGAGATGCCAAGGAAAAGAAGCAAAGGTGAGCCAGGCAGCGACGGCACATGCCTTTAAGCCTGGTACTCGAGGCAGAAGCAGGGGCAGGGGCAGGGGGGCAGGGGGGCAGGGGGCAGGGGGCAGAGGGGCAGAGGGGCAGAGGAGTAGGGGAGGGCAGAGAGGGGCAGAGAGGGGCAGAGGGGGCAGAGAGGGGGGCAGAGAGGGCAGAGAGGGGGCAGAGAGAGAGGGGCAGAGGAGGGCAGAGGGGGGCAGAGAGGGAGCAGAGGGGCAGGGACAGGGGCAGGGGCAGGGGCAGGGGCAGGGGCAGGGGCAGGGGCAGGGGCAGGGGCAGGGGCAGGGGCAGGGGCAGAGGCAGGGGCAGGTGAATCTCTGCCTTTGAGGCCATTTTGGTCTACAGAGCAAGTTCCAGGACAGCCAGAGCTATACAGAGGAATGCAGTTTTAAGAAACCAAAAACCAAACCAAAAAACAAACGGCATTGTCACTATGGACCCCAGCTCCTATAATGTAAGACCATATATGTGGGGTGTGTGTGTGTCTCTCTGTGTGTGTGTGTGTGTGTGTGTCTGTGTGTGCCTCCCTTGTCCCCATACTTCCAGCCTAACCCTTCCCACTATTTTCCTAGAGACCACCAGGCCTGGCTTTCAGTGTCACCTCTCATCCAAATGCTAACTCCTGTCTTGCTCCCTAGATGGTGGGAGGCAGCTCTACCCCCAACCCTTTGGTACTCACCTCCCTTGGTTACACTTCAGGCTGTGCTTCTTCATGGGAACATAAACAACTCTGTGCTTTTAGCTGGATGGTAAGGCAACTATAATCAAATCTGTGGAGATCTTTCACCTCACAAAGAGAGGAGATAATGTGAAACCCCACACCAAGTGTCACATGGCTGGATGAGGGAGCACCAGGAGAGACTCCTGCAGAGTTTCCAACATCTTAAGAAGTCAGCGTCACTGTGATTGATTGAAAATTCTGCAACAATCCAAAGCATTACAATTTCAAACTGTTGGTGGACAACAGCATGCTCTCTGCACTGCTGGCACGAGAGAGCAAGACGGCTCACGCAGTGTATGTAAATTAAGATATCTAACCTTCCTTCGACTCTGGGGAATGAAAGCTTTAAAGGGATCTCCTAGAAAGAACATGGTAGACAGCTGTTAGTCCCTTTTGTGTCTAAGGATTCCTGCTTGTCCCTAGAGTGGTGACACCATCCTCTGTCCCTTGGCAGACCCCCTCGGGGAGTGGTCTCTCTTTTCTAATGATCATGTTCAGTACAAGGCCAGAAATAAGGTGAAAGAGAGATAACAAATTCCTGCAGAAAAAATAACCTAAAAATTGTTTGAGATATCCAAAGCCCCCTTCTGTCTGAGGTGACCTAGCTAGTGTCATCCTTGAAGAATGGCGTGTTTGAAACCCCATCTTAAGCTTTCTAACTGCTCCAACATATGTATACCTCTGAGATATTGGTTGATAAAGAAGACGCATTTTAAAAATTTTTCTTAAAGGGCCAGCAATGTGGCTAAGCCGGTAAAAGTGCTTGCTGCCACATCTGAATTTGGTCTACAGATTCCACATGATACAAGAGAATTAGCTCTCATAGGTTGTCCTCTGACCTCCACATGCACAGTGCGGCGTGTGAGCATTGATACATACAGAGAGAGGGACAGGGGAAGAGAGAGACAGAAACAATAATATTTTTTTATTCTATGTGTATGGGTATTGCATGCATATATATATATACATAAATAAATATATATATCACACACATCTCTCTCTCTTATACACACACACATACATACAACACACACACATATATAAACACACACACACACACACACACATATATATATGTATGTATATATATATACATACATATATATATATATATCACATGTATGCCTTGTGCCATGGATTTCCTGGAGCTGCAGACAGTTGTAAGTTGCCATGTGGGTGCTGGGCTTTGAACCTGGGTCCCCTAGATGAACATATTATTATTATTATTATTATTATTATTATTGTTATTATTTAGAAGATGACACAGGTCAGTGGAAGGAGACTTGTATTCTCTCCTTGTCTTTCTGGTGAAAACGAGTCTGTATCTCTGCAGAACCACCTTTTGAGAAAGGAAATGGCTGTGAAACAGAAGTGCATTTGTGCCCATAGATGCTAAGCAGATTTTTGTTTTGTTTTTCATTTTCATTCAATCTCTTTTTCCTGATTTGTTTCCCTATTCAGTTTCCTTA